TTATTACTAAAGTAAGACTGAATCCTGTCTGCAGGAAGATGAATTGAACTTAATCAAAGACAGAAAATCTCAGACTGCTCCAGTAATTACAGCAGCCTAAAATCTTCCAAAAGGATTTTCTTTTCACTTGTCAGCCTATGATAGATTCTGAAAAGAGGGTGGGGCCTTAAAACCTTGTTTGATTATCAGACTCTTTTTCCTGACAGTAATGCTTTAACTTCACTCAGATTCTGATCAGAGACTCAATAATCTTGAGAGAACAAAAATAAATCCACTGACAAGTTTCAGTGAACATTAACATCCTCACAGCATCATGTTGGTTTCCTTTCAAAAAGTCGGCCATGTTAGCAAACAGTCCAAAACAACAACATGTGACAGTGAAACTCTACAAGATGAGAGCGCTTTTATTCTGAAAGGTTGTTAAAATGCTGCACCATTCTTCAGTGATCGGTTCAATTCAGTACAAGGGAAAGCAAAGTGTTCTTACCATTTCTAACTGAGTTGTTACTAAATGTGACGACGATTGATTAAAGCATCATAATAATCATCTTATTAGAGTTATTATTAGTAATAGGGTAATTATTTTACCTAGCAACAATGTGACAGGATTATGTTTGGAGGAGTGTGTGTGTTCTGGCTCTCAGTGTATTAAGCTGCCACATTTTATAACAAGCTGCTTCATCATCACCACCAAGTTGGGACGGCTTAACATGGACTTTAACTGGTCCATGTTAAGCCACTTGGTCAGTTCTGATCCAGGAAGGGATGACAGATCCTTCTCAGAGCTGCTGAGAACTTTTCTTCTTACTTTCAGAGCTTTACAGCAGTTTTGAGCCAAACATTATTTTAGATTAAGAAAAGTGTTTTTACAACATTTCACCTCAGCTGAAACCTTCAGATTCATATTTATTTTCATAAAATATTTAAAGGACAACAACAGAAGAAGTTGCAGATTGATGAATGTGTTTCTGTTGCATTAAATCACTGCATGTGGGTTCCTCATTACACTCTCAGAGTCACCCTGAAGAAGAAAATAAATATGGATCAGTCAGTCTGTCAAGGCCTCAGTAGTGGGAATGTTTAGGGCTGCCAGGACTCACCCTGAAGGTTTGATTTATTTTAGAGGCAAAATTACTGACTCAAAACTCATCTGACACTAAAGTCCGAGTCAGGAACCATTCCAACCATCCTAAGAAACACTTGAATAAATCTAGCCTTACATGACTGATGATTAAAGATCCCATCAACTCTCTAACATTAAAAATGTCTCCAGGCTGATTTCACTGTGATCCCGACTGGTGCAGTTCTAACGGGCCTTAAATGACATGACTGAGGCCTGTAAAGTCTGCACATCTGCCTGATCCATTGTTAATGGAGGAAAAGTCTGAAATCTAAAAGTAAAGCACTCACATCAAAGATCAGAGCTGATAGAATCTGAACAAAATCTGAACATTTTACACCAATAATCTCTTTAACTGCATAAACAGAGAAAGGATCTGACAGAGTAGAGTGGAAACAGTGACATAGTGAGTCGTGACTAAGTGATGGCTGCATATTAAACTCACATATGAACTGATGGCACAGAGCTGCAGCAGGCTAAACCTCCTGTTCTGGATCCATTGTGTTAATTCTTTACACACTGAGCAACTGCTGTGAAGCACATCAGCTCAGCAAGCACAGGCTCCAAATGTTATTGGCACATGGGGATAAAATGTCTAATTCATATTAAACCTCTTTCACACAGTAATGTATCAAACGCTGCTCCAGTAAGCAGGTAGAAATTTGTTCAAGTCACTCTAATCTGTTATCACCCCCAAAAAATCACAAAAAGAAAGGCAGAGAACATGTGTTCTGTATGTCTAACATGGTGTGTTTTAACATGTCCATGTCTCCAGGTGGGACAATATATAGTAAAGTTGTGTGCATACATAGCTACGTTCTCCATGCTGATTGAACACTTCCAAATGGCCCCGGTAGCAGCAGCCAGTAGCTGCTTGTTTTCTGCTTTAGAGAGCAGTGACACCAGAGGCTGCAGGCCTTGGTGGCTGCGGACCAGATCCCGGGTCAGTTTGTCCTCTGTACACTATGAAGCAAACAAGAGGTCTGAGAGAGATCTGGAATCTGGCTCTATTCAGTAGCACAGAGATCAGGTGTTTAGGTCCATGATATGCAGGAAGGGCTTTGTTTCTCGACTGGCCTGGGAACATCCTGGGATTCCCTTGGAGAATCTGGGTCAAGTGGCTGGGGAGAGGGAAGTCTGAGCTTCCAGAAGAAAATGGATGGATGTAATGTAGGATAGTGCTAAATATGTCAGCACATGTCACCAAAATGTTAGATTTGTTCTTTGGGTTGTGGAAGCTGGTAAAGTGTGTCCATTGAAGAACGCCGTACTTGGCGTCTGTTACTGTGCGCTGGCAGTACAAGGTAAGCAATACTGACCACCAGCTCCTCACTGTAGCCAAATGTTACTTTTAATGTCCAAGTCGTTAATTTTGTATCATTTTGTCTTTTTTAATTTATGATGTATCTGTAAACAAAAAAAAAAACTGTGTTAATGAGACTTATGTTGACACACAGTATTTGCTGTGAATTCTGAAGGCGAAGCCGCTGCGCTGTCAGGTGGTCTGAATAAACGGTTTGAACCATGATCTCAACCGTGTGCGTGCCTCATTACACTCTCAGAGTCACCCTGAAGAAGAAAATAAATATGGATCAGTCAGTCTGTCAAGGTCTCGTGTTTGTCTGATTATTGCCTCAAGTTTCCTTCCGACAACAACCTATTAAAGAAAACACGACGCAGAGTCTAAAGAACAGCGAGGTGTCATCTCACACGGACAGGGTTACATAAAGATCAATAATTTTCAAACAGGCTCATCAGTGGAGACCTACATCCACAATCTCAGTTGTGTGATCAGATCTTCTTCACAGAGCAGTTCTCTGACACTGCAGGACAACAGGAACATGTGTTCTCCATATCATGAAGCTAAAACCTAAATGTGAACCATTTGTCCATTAACAGCAGTGGATCTACTGCTTCCTTTGTCTCCTCCATTCTAACTCTTCAAAGGATTTGCTGGGCCAGCTTCATACCTTGTAAAAACAAGAAAAAATGTGATGTTCAGGAGCGATAGCTGGGAAATCAGAAAACACATCATATGTTTTCATTTTCAGACACTTTGGTCTGGAGGGATTGTCGACATTCTTTAAAACATCGACACCATCTGAAGTCTCTTATGATGAAGGATTT